GGGCCTCTTTACGTTCTAATATGCATAAGCTTGTTATTTACATAAAGGATAAAGGTTAATCCGAGTAACTACATTGTGACTAATTATAAATAGACAGCAGATGCAAGGAAAATTAGCGATATTACATTTCGGTATTATTTCAACCATCTTCAGACTCAATTGTACAAGATTCATCGCCTGGTAGAACCTAATTGAACCAAATCGTTCTCTACCGGGTCATGTAGAAAGTTTCTGCACCGCTATTAACTAACTGACTGATATTAAAATTTTGAGTGCTAGAAAATCGCAATACCATAATCGCACTCAAGATTGCATAACATGCCTATAAATTAAATCGTCAATTAACCTAACATCAATTATAGTCACCTACTCTGAAACTCAAGGTATAGACAATAAAACACCTGCTATACTTTTGTTCCTTGAGCACAGCATCCTATTTATTTTCCTTTAAACTACAGTGGAATCGCGATTTCTCGAAACCCCATCTTTTCTAACCTCCCGATAACTCAAACCAAAAGTCGTTCACTACTCCTCACTCGAACACTATACCTTTACCTGAGATTTCTCGATTCCATTGTATGTTCATCTGCTGTAGATCAGACTTTCTCACGACGATAATTGTTTTGTTCTCTCATCGTGCTCGTTCATCTATAAAATTTGGGTTAATATAATGTTTGAATACAACAAAGCTGGACACAGAAACTGGAATAGCTTTTTTGTAGTATCTGCATTACATGTCACGAAGAGGAAAAACTACAACTTGTCTTTGTTGCTGAGGTCTCAGTTTGCGAAAGAGTGCAAGTAAAGCTGATCTGTATTCTGGCATGTGCATAGCGTATAATATAGAATTTACAAGAGAGTTTGCACAAAGTAAAACCAACAATGCATAATCTAAATGAAAACGCACTGAAGGGGTTAGTGACCGCCATATTTTAAATTTACTGATATAAATGACATAACGCAATATAACGTGTGGCAGGTACAACAGAAGAGATACAACAGTCACAATTAACAATGTCATGGTCAGTTTTCTTTCTCTACTGGTTGCACCATGGTGTTGAGGCTGCCCTCTACAACGGACTTTAATAACAATGGATGAGTAAGAAACACAAATAATTAAAAGACAAATTAAATAAGATGTAGCATACCAGTAAAAACTGTAATATCTTTCTTCAAACTGTTCGAGAACTACAGGAGCTATTCCTACCAACCCAGATGTAAGCCAAACAACAGCAATTATTAATCGATATACCCATTTTTTTAGCACACGATGCCTAAACGGGAAGAAGGTCGCGTGCACCCGTTCTAAAGCGATGATGGCGATATTTATTAACGAACCAAAGACGAATAACCCCATTAGTACTGTTATAAAATAATCTGTCCCAACTTTAAATGAATGCAACTTCCACAGATTACAGTCTACCCCAGGCCAATAGAACAGAACATACACAGCAACTCCTCCAACCAACATATCTATAACTGCCAAATTTATCACCAGGTACGTGCTACGCTTGCGGAGATTACGGTTTCTTATAAACACAATTATCGTACAGAGGTTGAGTGTTACTATAGTAACAGACTCGGCTAAGCCTACAGTCATCCACGGTATGCAGTCAGATAAAGACAGCATCTCAAAGCTCTGTCCTTTT